AAACGACTTCGTCAGGAAAATGCCGTGTGATAGTTGGTGGGAGAGGAAGCGTAACCACCATAACAGGGAGAAAAGTACCCCTAACCAGGGACTAGGTGGTCAGCAAGGGGCTATTGTGGGGATGAGAAAAGGGTGACGAGAAGCCATACCGAAATGCCGTGAAAAACACCATCATGACAACAGCAAGTACTTTAATGCTCCAATGATCTGCTTTCACAAACACTTTGCCCAGGCAGTATAAAAAAGCTGCTAGCCATAGAAACCACTCCAGGAAAGCAGCTACAAGGAACGGGCCTAGTATGGAAACATAGATGATCTTTTGAAAATAACAGTTAATATTCGCGACATTTACGGTTTTTTTTTTTTTTTTTTCTCAGATGAGAACGTCAAGACTTACATCCTTTGTTGCCCATTCAGATTCATCGTAGGCAGATCTATAGGTGTGCGCCACCATTTTGGGCATTATTCGTAGATTCGATGTCTCTTTCTATCCACGGTTGTCAATCCCTTAAACAGGAGACGAATTGTGGAACACGCAGTAGGAGGAAGAAGAATATTAAAAGAATTAAAAGAGGAAGAATATAACCCAGCACCGATCAGCCCAGCTGGCCGAGCTTATGCAGGTTGCCACGGATCCACGTTCAGTCAGTCATTGGCATGGAAGAACACAGGAGCACATCGGTAGCTGTAAAACTGTAGTAAGGAACTCGGAGTCAAGGATCTCTGTCGCCTGCAGGGGGCCGGAATTTGTGCAGCTTGAAATCACGGGTATAACATGTAACTATTTCGTGCGGACAGGGTTTTGATGAAGTTTCCAGAAGGCGGGAAGACGTTGATAGCTTGTGCTCCTCGCAGTTGGCGGGTGGAAAAATGCTGCAGATCAGAGGATGGGCCAGTTCGAAATGTGAATAGCGAATGACAACAAAGACCCAACATGAGATATAACACTGTCTTAATTTCGAGATTATTTTCCCCCACCAAGATAAACATGCATAAGAACACAGAGAACTGTGTTGCTGTAAAAGAAATAAAATTTCAATAAGGGCTCCCCGGAGGGTTGGGAGATTTTAAGGTGATTGATTATCAGCGATTGAACGCACAGCAGAAAGAGACAAAGGCAAATTAAAAGCCGCATAATTCACAACCCCAACAAGCTAAGCTTGTATATTATCAGCAGGAGCAAGGGCTGGTTCCCACAGCAGGTGCAGTCCCCAGAATGCGGCAGTTCGAGGCTGCTACATACATTTTGGTAGCAGCCAGTTCAGCGCGGGAGAAGGTAAGTGTGTGGTGTGCCTATGGGACTAGCTGGGTCGAGAGGGAAGTGCTGTGAGTGCATAAAGGGGAGCAAAGAGAAACCCCGCTTGGGTGAGGCCGAGCAGGTTATCTGATCCCCCATACTTTTGCGGGTGGTATAAATAGCTGAGACCGCTGCAAAATGTTAACTATGCGGTACATTTCAGTAAACTAGAGGAGACGTGTGGGGATGAGATTGAAGGGCCATCATCCATCAACCGCCACTGGCGGGCGTTACAGGGGTAGGGTCCCTCCCCAGAGCCACAATATGCACTCATGGTCCTAGTCTGCGTATATCTCGCATAACAGATCCCTCATTGTCTGGGTTCCAGCGTATGGATGAACATTCAGTCTAGGCAGAGGGGAACAACCGTGAACTCCGTGTGGTTGGTGTAACTATCCAGCCGGATCGGATCAAAGAATTTCCCGCCTCTCTTGTCACTCCGTTGCCAATGAAAAATAAAAAAAAAAAAAAAAGTTCCAGACATACCCCACCCTTCTCCAGCATCCCACACCCAACGACAATCGTTTCTACCTTCTTCCCACGATTTGTTTTGGTTTATACCATTAACATTTATTTGTCATAATAAATTACTTTATAGGGAGCTCTTGATCTTGAAATATTCCGTTCTTGTATTTGCGTGCGGTATTTCCGTCCGCAGGTAGTCACACCCAACTCGCGACCGCGCTGGAATCCCCCACCGGCGCCTTATCCATAGAGCAATCTAAGAATATCCGTAACAAAGTCGTTCGATTTAGCAATACCAATGGTCTAGATCTGTTACAGTTTGCTCGAAGCTTAACTTGTATCTCGGCCGTCGAGAGTCAACAGAGCACACAGGAACATCCCCTTTTCCTAGTAGGACGACGGGTGCCTGCTTCTCCTCATCTTACACGAAGAGAATAAAAATACACATCACATTATGGCTGAAGAACAGAAACGAGCTACCCCTCCAGTGGATGCGAATCCAAATGCCCAATCTGAAAATGATTTGAAGCAGGTGCTCCAGGAGCTTAAGGCTCAGGGACCAAAGGAAACGGAACTGAAGGCAGATGTCGATGTGGAGATGACAGCACCAGAACCTAGCGAAAACAACGACGCAGCTGGTACAAATGGCAAGGCTTCGGAAGAAGGAGCTGGTGACGATGCAGAAGCTAAAGAAGAAGCTCGAATTATCGCTGCCGCTGCGAAAATGGGCCAGGACGCTGAAGCGAAGAACGAGAACAAGGACGAGCAAAAGGGCACCGGCAGAAACCACAGGCAGTCATCGCGGGGTGGCCGTGGCGGAATTCGACAGCGGGTAAATTACCGCGATAATATCAAATCGGATGTTTCAACCTTGAAGGAAACCAATGACCCAGACGAGATCCGCAAACAGGTCGAATTCTATTTCTCAGACTCAAATCTCGTCATGGATAAATTCCTCCTCTCAAAAGTAGGCGGGAGCGAAAACAGGCCCGTTGAGCTCTCCCTCCTCCACTCCTTCAAACGTATGCGCCGTTTCCAACCCTTCAGCGCCGTCGTCGATGCCCTCAAGGCCTCCAAAACTCTAGAGCTCACAAACGACAACACCTGCGTCAAACGCAAAATCCCCCTGCCGGAGATAGTCAAGGAATCCGTCGACCCGACCGCCGTCAAGGTGTTCGAGGACAGAGCGATGCAACGCAGCATATATGCCAAGGGCTTTGGGCCGGAAGAACCAAGCACGCAATTCGACATAGAAGCCTTCTTCACGCCCTATGGTCCCACGAACGCCATCCGTCTCCGCCGCACGCCTGAGAAGATCTTCAAGGGGAGCGTGTTTGTGGAGTTTGATAGCGAGGAGACACAAAAGGCGTTTCTGGCGCTTGACCCGAAGCCAAAGTGGAAGGGGACTACGGAGTTACTTATTAAGAGCAAGAAGGATTACTGCGATGAGAAAATTAAGGAGATTGAGGCGGGGAGGTTGAAGCCTAATGCCGGGAGAGGGAGGGGTGGGCATCATCGGGGACGTGGTGGCTCGTCGAATCAACATGATCGTCGCAAAGATGATCACAAGAAGGGCTTTAAGGGGGGGAAGGGTGGACGAGGTGGTCAAAGAGGCGGCAGAGGTGGTGGGCGGACGGAGTTGCAGAAGGATGCTCGGTATGTTTATGTTTCTTTTCTCTATTTCCATTCCATGGGACGAATTATATCTTTTGTCTCCATTCAAAAGTCTACGACTTGGTGTTCCTTTTTCTATTTCGCTAACCCTCCCTGCTTCTCTCGGTAGTGGCGTCCCCGTCATCCAAGTCTCGCCAACTGAAAAACCACCAGCAACAAACGACGACTCGACAACCAAAAACGGTCAGAAGCGTGCGCGGGAAGATGGCGATGCAGCTGCTAATGGAAGTGGGAATAGCATCGGAAATGGCAACGCTGTTTCCAATGGCGCTGGTCCTGCTGCGGAGTCTGGAGCCCCTCCCGCTAAAAAGGTTGATGTTAAAGAGTCATGAACAATGGGTCAATGAATTCTCGCCTCTTTTCCCACTGATCGCATGAATTGTCAGAAGAAATATTAAACATGATGAGAGTTATTTGGTAAAATCAATTGCGTCGAAAGCTTTTATAAAACAAAAAGTTTCTTTTTGTCATTGGGGCGTGATTGGGGTTACTGTCTATCAGAAGAACTTATATCGGATCGGATGCCTTTTTTTTTTTTTTTCGTCCTTTTTGTTGCCATGTACTTCCGTTCCTATCTACTTCTTTTTCTCGCCATGTCAATTATTTGTATTTCTTATCTGTCCTATTTCTTAATTTCCCCTTTCTTTCCTTTATATTCATCCTCTAGTTTTTTCTGGGCTTTTTGGAGTTTACCTTTCTGCTCACTTCTTTCTTTTCCCTCTCCCGGCAGAGTGCCGACTGTGTACCAAAAACTTTCACTTATGGTATTGTCAAGCATACTCCGCCACATATATTCTCCCTTTTTTCCTGTCATAATGTCTATAAAGGGAGGGCTTTTACTATGTTCAACCAGCATGTGTGTGGGTATCTACCCTTTTGTCCTATTCTCTCTGCATGTCTGTCTCCGATACATATGTAGCTACTTGACTGAAAAGTGGACAGCTAGTTTCTAATTAACTAACCGGTCAATAAATCCGCCATCCTATTCAAATACTGGACGATGGGCCTTCCATGCTTCGGTTTGCCAAAAGAACTGGTATTATGAGCGTTAACATAACAGTCTGCATTGACTAAAGAGCTGGGTATATCGGTAAGAAGAATACAAAAGACGTGTCAGAAAACAGTGCACTGAAAAGAAGTCAACTCACGGTGCCTCTAGGCCTTCCATGAAATTGGTATTTGACATGGATAAGAAGAGTCCAAACAATACGATAGCAGAACCGCCCGTGACGACAAGCCTGCCAGGAGAAAAAGGAAATGGCTGATATTCCATTGCCAAACAGGGTACGCCTTGCTTCATTGTCTCTTTATTAAAATAAGCCGTTCGTAGTGTGCCACTGGTTGCTTGCAATTTGTTGGAAACCACCGCTGTCAGCTCAACAGCCACGAATACCAGCCACAAGCAAACTCAGTATCATATCATATTATTAAAAACATCATTGAATAATAAAAGGGGTATATGTCAAGAAGCAAAATTAACAAATGAAAGAGAAACAAGAAAATGCCTGATCAATGACAAAGAGGGAGGGAAATACCCATTTGTTTTGAATAGGTTCTTGATTAGCTACAGGCGCGCCTTAGATTGGGATCGCGGAGGTGTGATTTTTTGGTCAAGCTTGTGCTTCAGTCTCTCAGAGTTGACCATATATGCGCTTGGGAACCAGCTGGACAGTTTCTTCTCGTCGTCACCAAATATCATGTTTGTAAGGGCCTCTGCACAAAGGAAGCAGGAGACCATTCCTGTATTTTGGAAGGGAGTGCAATAAAGGTTAGAAATAAAATTCATCCCGTGAAGTTGGAGTAAAGTAAACGGCATCAGGGAAAAGAGGGAAAACTCACCATGTCCCTGGAACGATGCCGAGATAAACAACCCCGATTCCCCCGGCATCTCCCCAACCAACGGATACCCATCGGCACTGTAGCCCATAATACCCGTCCATTCCTGCCTCACACGACCAGCAGGATCATCAGAGCCCCAATTCTTCCCGAAAAACTCCACCGTCGACGCAGCCAGATATTCACTAATAGCAGGCTCCACAGCGGAGTCATTCGTATTACCATAATTGGCTAAACCCTCATTCTTGCTCTCGCAGAACCCACCTCCGATAACGATGTCGCCCGGATACTTGGACGTCTCTGGGCATTGAATCATGTAATCGAAGCCGCTACCGTAATTGAAAGAGTAGGTGGTGGAGAGAGTGGAGGACGGCATTTTTGACCCGGGTCTATGCGCTGTTACCTGTCCGCGAACGGGGACTATGACGCCTTGAAGTTTCGGGTAGATGGCTGCTGTGTAACCGTTTGTTGCCATTATGACTTTTGAAGCTTGTATGTGGCCGCGTTGAGTTACGATGGTCCAGCTGGTCTTGTTGGTTCTGCTGCTGCTGCTGTTACTAGAGCTATTACCATCATACCTATGTAAACCGGTTACGGGGGTATTTGTTTGCAAATTCAGTCCTTTCTCCAGACATAGCTTGAGAATCCCGATGACAAGCTTGTATGCGTTAAGACTGCCAGCTTCGTATGTAATAGCACCGGCGGCGCCGGGGACGAGGAACTTCTCTTCTGTTTCCTTTCTGTTCCAGAACGTGTACTTGCTTGCGGGATGGTTTGGCATGGCCTTTTGCATGAACTGGACGGCTTGGACGGCTTGATCGAGGGTGTCTTGATTGTATATGATATCCGCGGTGTCGATGTGTCTGCTCTCGCAGTCAATGTTATGCTTCTTTACAAAGGCGTGGACTTGTCGGACGGTGTTGAGTTCGAGCTTTGCGATTTTTATGGCTTCTTCAAGACCAAGTTTTTGCACGTTTGTGGGAAAGGTTGTGTATGAAGCTCCTTTGGTGTGACCACCTAATACAAATTGTCACGACATGTCTGATTAGCGAAGTTGCCCATACGAAAGTCACCTCCTCTTTCCCCTGTTTGTACTCCTTATATCACATGCACACAGGAGAAGTAGAAAATAAAATAAAAAAATAGAAAATAGAAAATGGTGGGGGGGGGGGAAAGAAAAATTGATTCGTACCATTTCTTCCTGTTGCTCCACTTACTGCCTGTCTCGCCTCCAACATTACAATCTTGGTCCCTGGAGCTCGACATAGGATATTATACGCAATAGTTGCGCCAGATATCCCTGACCCAATTATGGCAATATCCACCTGCGATGGAAGCTGCGTAGTAGAACATATGTCCCCGATCTCATCCGGTGGATTTTGCCAGTACGAAACCGTGGGATTGAGATGGGGTAGCGATACTGGAATAGAAATTCGTTTGTTCATTTTGCTTCTTCGAAAAAAAAAAAAATCAATCAACTCCTTTTGTCTGTCTCTTCCAGCGCTGTTAACAAGATTTCCTCTGTTTTGCGGAGAAGGAAAAAAGGTTGCTCTCTGGTGAGGATAGACAGTAAACTGTAACTACTAGTCAAAAGGGCCCCCTTTTCGAAACCGGCAGAAACAAAAAACGGGTTTCCCGAGGGTATATCAAAGTCAACCTGAGGACGGCCAGACCAGAACTGTGCGCTTTCCGCTTCACTTTTTAACAGAGCAGACAAAGAAATCGCGACAGAGGGTTTCCATATAAGAGAGACACTGAAACCTTCATGTGTGTTATTAGCAGTGAGGAAGCGGTCCGGCCCCCGCCTCCCATGATCTCCCCCATGGCGGGCGGCAGGGTATTCTAACGATGAGACAATGTGATCGCAATATCATACGAATATCATAGTGCTACCGCACTCCCGGAATGATTCATTTTCGCCTCAGGGAATTCCCCCGTGGTTGGATGCATGCGCCGTGAATCAACTGACCGGTTTCATACAGAACCTTCGTTGTCCCGGATGTGGTCTGATTGGAAGGTAATGCCTTTTAAAAAGTGTCAGACGATTATCCTTTGGGGCATATAGAAAGTATATCCAGGTGTGTAGGCCTCATATACAACAAGAAAAATAACAGATTGTGGTTTTGCCCGTTGAGTGGTTATTAGTCAATGACTCCCATCACCAAAGCACCACCACCACCACCACCATCATCATCATCATCATCATCAAGGGATGGCGGACATCAAAACAAGGTTAGGGTTTCCCCTATTGCGCTTAAATGCGTAGGCAAACTTTATCTTATCGCCCGTGACGGCGTGACCTCCACAATCTGATTCTCACCCACCAATCAGCTGCAGCAGACAACTATTTCATCGTGTCCCCCAAGCTACTAGCAGGTCATGTGACACGCAGGATCTCAACCTCCCGCAACCCACCCTTCGGAGTTGTATATCAGAGACAAGTTACAGAGCAGACTCAAGGCGCTGGGCAGGCGTATGTCGCCACGGACACGTCACAAATAGGAGGAAATAAATCTTGATTCCACTTTATTTGCTGTCTTATTCTCCTATCCCATCCCTCCCAACCCCCCGTCCAATTTCTTCTCTTCCCCCTACGCCAATCTTTGCTCTGTTAACATTCGATATGTCCTTCATGTCTGGTGTTCAGTATTGCACCGGATTACCTTGAACTTCTTTTGAAAGTCATAGTCCCCTACAGCCCAAGTACTGGCCAAGGTCCTAGTGTTAACAACTTGCACTGAACTGCACATGCATACATGTAGCTATGTATTTTGGACTATGACTTTATATATCCAGCAAGCAGCAGCATTGCCAATTTTCAACGCCAATGGATGTTTCGAAGAGGTCTTCTCCGGAACCACGTCACTGCAGCATCGAATGCCAAAGACAAAAAATATCCCATTGAATTACCTGTGCCGCCCACTATCGCACCTGTTTGTCTTCATTCACTGGATTTGGATGATCTGTTTCGGCTCTGTAAATGCGCTCTGCAGCAAAGTGGGAGATTTTGCGTATAAATGTCCTAAACATAAGGGGCTCTCATGGCCTTGGAGCCCCCTTGAGAATCTTCTCTCTCAATTTCCGCCGTTAGGAGCAATAAATGCGTGTGTCATGCCTATATTGCCATGTATTATGACACCTTCAATCCAAATTTTGATGCCGATACGATTGAAAAACCACACCCTCCTCTCCCGCTACGTTGCATCCTCCTACCGTATAATTAAAGTCTTTTTTTGTCCCACATTTTGTGCGTCAACAGGAGCCAACGCCATCCTTGATAGTCGTTACGAATTGCATCCCCTGCAGCTGTAAGACGATAACACGTGGTAATATCTACCCCATCGAAAAGTCCACAACACACGAACGTCATCTCAATGTCATAAAATCGCCATTGCTATTGAAATTGCCACGGCCAAATCTTAACCAAGTCCTAGCTTAGCTGGGAATGCCGCCTAGGGAGGCTTAATTCCACGTGTTTTGAGTCCAATAATATCCCAAAACCATCTCAAGAAAGTTCCAGCCGATGGCAATGATGCTGACATAGTGTGTATCTATGCATATTCACCCGATCCAGGCGCTGGGTAAATCGATGAGGTTCAATAAATTTTGCCGCCAGGCAATGCAACCGATGATGGGTCGTATGAAAATTATTTATGTCACGTGGGGGGTGTGCTGCAATTCATCTATTTGCCAGGAGCTGAGGCACATGGACGTGTCCCTCCTCCTTTGCTTTTCCACGGATCTTGCGGTCCGCTCTCGGCTTTGAATATCGGCAATTTTTTAAAAGTAATTCGAATTCACTTTCGTATCATATGACTCGGATGCCCAAGGTTGTTAACTATATACAACCTTATTTGGTCTAGATATGCTTTCGTCCTTCCTTTCTTCTTTTTTTCCATTTCTGCACGATTTTCCATCTGCTGGGAAGAAAGTGGCTTTCTTCATGCAGGAGATCAAGAGACCCCAATTTGATGGTAAGGAAGGCCCATGCAATGATTACAACGCGTTTCCCCCGTTTCCTCTCGGAGGGAACACGATAACGGTCGCCCATGGAATGAACTGGGCGAACTGGATTCAGGAATATAAGGAAGAAATAAAGCATCTTGTCTCAAACAATACAGCGGTACTTAACCAAGTTTATAATTTCCAAGTTTATTATAACTTTACAAGCCCGTGTCAGATTCGACCATGTCGAGTTACCCTTCCGAGAGAATGGTTAATAAAACGCGAGTCAAGTGCTGTTAAATTATTTAAGTTTCAGAAGCACCCTCCTACCGCGCTGAAATAACTAATTTATATCCGGCAAAATTAACTCCTGCAAATAGCATCATAACCCCACTGGTGGTTTATGACAGCTGACACTATACCACTGTTGAAGAAGTCTTGTGAAAGGATTCAATACGTCTTCCGCATCCGGGAAAAAAATATTCCGTCATCCATTGATGCTGTGACTGTTACTCAACGAAAGTTTACGCTCACTGTTTTCTCCCAGTTTAGCAATTAAACACCTCTATGGATTAATCATGTTTTCTGCATGATAGAAATATGTATTTGGAATTAGAGGATATATAGCACTGGAGACCCGGCTTGAAAACTATGCATATCGTGGCTTTTGACACTTCGGGGAATTCAACAGGCGCCGTTCCTCTGGTTTATTCCCTTCAAGTCCATGATAAATTTCTTGAAAGTTGATGGTTAGAGTGGCATTGCAATACCTAGTTTGCTTAGATATAACTGCTTTATAGGTGTGCCATTTTTTTTACGGGTTGGAGCTTTTACGGAGTATGATGGGGGGAAATGTATATTCTGAAAACCTATATTGGGACTTCGAGATCGTGCCCCGCACCAACCGTATTATGTGCTTGATGCAACAACCTATCCCCCTGAAAGGGTACATACATACTAAGATTTACTGATACAAGCCATATTATTATGCAAGAACCACTCAATTATGACAGGTATATTTGTTGATCGTGTCTAGACTGTTATCTCCTTTGAGTTAATGGCTTGATATTGTCTTGCTTCTATTTTCTACTTAACTTTCAAGATAGTCACTTCAGGAAATGATAGTGTTTTCATGGTGGGCATTTTCACAGATGGTTTTGGTTTAATTAATATCAACCTTTAAGTGCTGATGCATCTGATGAGACCTTAATTACCGCAAATTTTTTTCTGGTCTCACCTCTTTTTAAGATATCATATTTGTTGCTTTTGAATAAATGTCATAATATTTTCCCTTCTCTTAGCACCAAGTTGATGTCTTTCTACACTTGGTTAAAGAATCATGCTTTTAGCTATATGTTTATTAAATAATGAAAGTCTCATGTGAGAATTCACTGCTGAATTTGAAAGGTCTAGAATTTGAAGAGTCTATTCTTAAGAATCATCAAATATTTGAGATCACTCAGCAGGACACAGAGAGAGTGAATTTTTAGAAAAAATAAATATATCTCAAGAGGGAGCCAAATCCCTAGTATTTAATGGTAGATGAAGCATTCTCTTAATATATTGCCCGTGGAGAGCATGGTCCTGGCTAGAATTGAACTAGGGAAGTTCAAAACAAATTTCTACGCATGAGGAGCGTAAAAGGTCAAGTTAAGCGACGGATGGTAAAGCATCACTATCTCACCACATTTGCATTGAAATGGCCTTCAAATTCACAATGGAGCAAAATGGCAGAGTTGTATAAGCACCCGAATCCATGATCCATGCCAAAATACAAGGACGCCTGGCTCTCATTTCACTTGATAGCCCAACCTAGCACACATGTAATGTTTGTGCCATGTTCCCTTGCTATCCCGAAATTAACATAAGCTGGAAATTTGCCCGTCCCTCTTAAAAAATTACGGGGATGACGTTGATCCATGGGAGATCCTCAATTGAGCGGCGAAATTCCTTAGGTCCAGGGACGGATTAAATCCGAAATCTCCTCCAAACTGCCACATGCACGTTTGGTAAAGGGGAAATTCGCTGAACTGGGTAGAAAGCCGAGCAAGAGCGGTTCATATCAAAATTTGGCCTTCGCGGTCGCGGGGCCACTAACATCAGGCGGTACCAGCAAATAATCTGCCATGCTCATCCCAATCACTGCTATCAACAGATTGCTTTAGCGGAGTTCACTTTGGATTTTAACAGCTGTGAACTCAACCTCATGGTGATTTGGCTGGCAATCTGGGGGTGGACTGTTGCGATCGGATTCAAACGGGATAGAGAATAAATGGGTTGGCTATCAATCTTGAACGTCCCACGATACACCTTACATACGTAGCTTTTTACTCACTGCACCATCCCTTGGGGAGGGAGAATGTGCGATTGTAGCCCATAGATGGACAATTGAAACGCCAGTTCGGGGAGGTCGTCATAGCTACCGGAATCCGGCGGACTCTTATATAAGGAATTGCAGCAAATGTGCAATCCATGCTAGCGCCATATGAGGGAAATCAAT